AACAAGCATTTCAGAATATATGATTACAAAGCACACCCACGTATTTCAATTTCGTGTGACTACACAAATATGACTAAATATCCATAATGAATTTTGAATATTATTTAATTTTTAACAAATAAAATGGAATAGATATAAACTAATTAGTAAAAAGAAAAAGAAAATAAATTCATAGCTTCTTGCCGTCAATCAACACCAATTCGACAATTATTCATTGTTGGTCGCGGCTTCTCGGCGACAATAAAGAATAGCTCGACGATCTTGTTATTCAATCTTCTCCGACGAATCGGTTGGGATGAGAATATAGACATGTCCGATTTTTGGCTTGGAATCGGCCCATTGACCGTTGAATCAGTACCGGAACCGTGAACCAGCCCGGTTCTAGTATAATATGAACCGTGAACCACCAATTCGGCCCGACGGTTCACAACGGCTAGTAAACCAGCCCGATGAACCGATCCGGTGAACCTTGTAGTAGTCGTGGAAGAAGACAAGCCCAAACCCCATCAATGGAAGAGAAGAAGCGTAAGCCCTTGATCAACGGTCTGCCGCCAGTGACATCAAATTACTCAAAAACATTACACAACCTATCACCAGTATTACCTTATAACTATAACACGAACCCCAAATATGTTTTGTTTTTTTCTTTTTTTTGATTTATTCTTGTAATTAATGCAGCTCCAAACACACACACACACATATATATATTTGGAACACTTACAAGATATATGTATGTATGTATTTATGTATTATATCAATATGAGTTTAAATGATATTCCCTTACTTATAAATTATTCATTTAATTGAAAATGTATCATATTTTAATTTTCAACTTTTCCATAATAATAATACTAGTAATTATTATTATTATTATTATTATTATTATTATTATTATTATTATTATTATTATTATTATTATTATTATTATTATTATTATTATTATTATTATTATTATTATTATTATTATTATTATTATTATTATTATTATTATTATTATTATTATTATTATTATTATTATTATTATTATTATTATTATTATTATTATTATTATTATTATTATTATTATTATTATTATTATTATTATTATTATTATTATTATTATTATTATTATTATTATTATTATTATTATTATTATTATTATTATTATTAATTTTATTATTACACATTTTGGTCAATTACAGTAGTATAATTGAGTTTATAGCAATGATTGCATAATTAAAAAATAAATAAATAAATTGCAGTTGATGGTCGGTTTTATCTATCCTACACCCGGTGAAGGTTACACCGGGTGGTTTTTTACCGTTGATCTACACACACCAATGTTGGTGTGTGTGTGTTTGTGTGTATATGAATGGTAAAGATCTACCCGATGTATTTCACCCGGTGTAGGATCTCAAAAGCCTTGATGGTCCCAATATGTTTTCTTCTCTTTGCCCTATGCATTGCTTTATTCCTGTAATTAATTATATTCCCATCAGTTCACTATCGAAAAGATTTGTTTTACGAGAGCCTTTGATAATAAAAAATAATAATAATAATTACTGAAGAATATAAAAAGGAAAGTAAACAGTGTCAGTGTGTCTGTGTGTACTCATTCGGATTCGAACATGAGAAGTACATGAGCAACAATCATCATCTTCAAACTGAACTAAATAACAATATATAATAAATTAAAATTGGACTATAATTAATAATAAGAATACATAATAAATTAAAATTGGACTATAATTAATAACCTTTATGGGTTGGCTGGCTTGACTCTCCGGTTCATAATTCCCTAGGCCCAATTCAATTTTTTGTTTTTTGTTTTATTCAAATTAAATTGAACACACACACGTGTAAAATATATGAAATAACTCTATCCATCTCTATTGGGGACGGTTATATGCAAGCCCATTTTTTTATTAGTTCAAGACCTCCAACATAAAAATATTAATTTACCTTTAGTGAAATTTAAAATCAAATAAAAAATACAAAACATTAAAAAATAAAAAAATAAATTAATCATCTTCATCTTCGTCAGAGTCCACGTCATCACCATAGCTGGAGTCAGAGTCGCCGGAGTCGGAGCTGGAGCCGGAGTAGTTGCCAGCATGGTGAAAGTCAGGGTTCTCTTCGCCATACTCTTCATCGGGCGGGAATGCACCGGGTATACTTCGACCTCGACGTCATCATCATCGGCAGCGCTGGTGAATCAGAATCATAATCAAGGTAGTAGTACTCCATCATTTTTTCTGCCTACATTTTACGAATTACAAAATATATATTTATATGTAAACACACACACACACACACACACACACACATATATATATATATATATATATATATATATATATATATATATATATATATATATATATATATATATATATATATATATATATATATATATATATATATATATATATATATATATAT